GTCATAGGTCTAGTTATACAAAGTATGGTTAGATTACGACAGTGTCCTGTCATAGGTCTAGTTATACAAAGTATGGTTAGATTACAACAGTGTCCAGTCATAGGTCTAGTTATACAAAGTATGGTTAGATTACGACAGTGTCCTGTCATAGGTCTAGTTATACAAAGTATGGTTAGATTACAACAGTGTCCAGTCATAGGTCTAGCTATACAAAGTATAGTAAGATTACAACAGTGTCCTGTCATAGGTCTAGTTATACAAAGTATGGTTAGATTACAACAGTGTCCAGTCATAGGTCTATTTATACAAAGTATGGTTAGATTACAACAACGATCCGTCATAGGTCTAGTTATGCAAAGGATGGTTAGATTACAACAATGATCCGACATAGGTCTAGTTATGCAAAGTATGGTTAGATTACAACAATGATCCGTCATAGGTCTAGTTATGCAAAGTATGGTTATATTACAACAATATCCCGTCATAGGTCTGGTAATGCAAAGTATAGTAAGATTACACCAATGTCCCGTCATAAGTCTAGTTATACAAAGGATGGTTAGATTACATCAGTGTGCGTCAAAGGTCCAGTTATACAAATTATGGTTAGATTACGACAGTGTCCTGTCATAGGTGTAGTTATACAAAGTATGGTTAGATTACAACAACGATCCGTCATAGGTCTAGTTATGCAAAGGATGGTTAGATTACAACAATGATCCGTCATAGGTCTAGTTATGCAAAGTATGGTTAGATTACAACAATATCCCGTCATAGGTCTAGTAATGCAAAGTATAGTAAGATTACAACAATGTCCCGTCATAAGTCTAGTTATACAAAGTATGGTTAGATTACAACAATGATCCGTCATAGGTCTAGTTATGCAAAGTATGGTTAGATTACAACAATGTCCAGTCATAGGTCTAGTTATACAAAGTATGGTTACATTACAACAGTGTCCAGTCATAGGTCTAGTTATGAAAAGTATGGTTAGATTACAAGTGTCCTGTTATATGTCTAGCTATGTATTGTGAACAGATATCTTGGGCATCCTTTCGATCTGTATTATAGCGTATAAATTGTATAGATCATACTGTAATTTATTCGGGATGTTTCTCTTATCAAACGGTCGTTTCCACTCAAACATCTTCCTTGTCGCTTTATTGTTGTTTAGGGGTCGCTACATGGCCAGACAGGGTGACTGTAATTTCGAGCAAAGAAAAAGGAAACATTCCTGACACTTGACAACGGCGAATACGCGGGCAAACTTAGTCCCCACAGTATTATGACATCACCGGACATAGTTGGGAGGCCGATCAACAGGAAACGGGCCCAACGATTAACTCGTAAACGCTCGACTGGTGCGAACGTGCCTGTTTCGGCTTGAACAATATAATCATCATCATTATCCGTATCCCTAGACACTACTCAACATGCTAGTGGTACCATTTTACATCAAACTGGCCCTGGGGTTCCTGTTGGCTGGATTCGTGTTCCACCTAATAGGGTTCGCCACGCCCTACTGGACAGCGTACGATACGTTTTCAGGCAGCGTCAACAACGGCCTCTGGACTTTATGCTGGGACACACGGGTGGGGCGCACGTGCAACTCATATTCAGGTATGAAACGCACAAGCTTTAAGAGTCAGAAACATAACTGTGACACTTAACATAATATTGTTAATACAAATGCATGTAATTGGTATACGAAGAGATGATGCACAATAAAATGGCATCGGTTTCTGTGGTAATAAGGCATCATTTTAATTGTAAGAATTACTTAAGTGTACCAAAATCAAACCATTGCAGTAGACAACGCAACTTAGTCACCTGCCGAAAATAGACAGTGTCTGGTTCTCTCGTGTTCATTTAATCATTCGGGCATGAAATAAACTTTCCCTGATAATCATGGGCGTCACACTCCTACTTAACCAGATAACCAGGCGGCGCCACGTAACTACTTAAATACACCCCC